CCTTGCCTGGTTCGGAGGACGGGGAGCGGTAAGTGCTTGGCCTTTGCACGGAGCAGGTACAGGGGGCGAGGGGGGTTTGTGGACACTGCGGGCTGGCTACGCCATGCAGGGTTCCAGGCGCCAATGCACGCCTAAACGGGGACCGTGTGGGCCTGAAGCGGACCCGGCTCGATTGACGACGGAATAGATGGGCACTGTACCTACCTAACCTGCCTGCCTACCCACCGCCAGGATAGGTACCTCCCCAGGAGCCAGTCCGTCTCTCAAGGCACCTTCTAGGGGACCGAACCGGATGGAAACGGACGGGCTTCCCGCCACGAGGCCAATGACTCTTACGTTCCCTTCCCAACCAGCAAGCCCTCGCTCGATTTTCGGTCTTCTTTCTGTCTTTGCCTCCTCAACCCCAAGACTCAACGATGAAACCCGATCAGACATAGATGACCACCCACGGTTCAGATAAGACAAGCGCATTCTTCTGTTCCCGTCTTCTGATCCACTGCCTTCCACAGCCTAGACCCAGCTCTCGACCTGGAACCCGCCGCCCCGGGCCAGGCAGCCAGGGCCAAAGGCATCTGTCCCCATCCGGAAGTCGATCCCAACCAGCGGTTAGCCGCAGAGCCCAACAGCCAGCGAAGTGACGGCCAGCAGCGAACAACAGACATCCGCAGAGGGTCTAGGCCGCGACCTCAAAGACCAGGCGTGCCACGGGGTTCCAGCTGACACGACAGACGATTGAGGTACCGAAAACGGTTTAATCATGGCTGTGGTGAGATCGAGCCACTTGCCTGCCAAGCTTGGATGACCTTGACCGCCAACGTCAGGTGCATAGGCACTGCTTTCCCCAATTTCTTCGTCCGCTAGGATCTCTACTCTGCCACGACACGGTTCAATTGTGGCAAAGCATTTGACGGAGCTCATTACAAATCGGGGCGTTTGACTCACAGTCTGGCGGAGAACTGAGCCTGTGACGAACCGTTCAGACCCGAGATGAGTTTTTGCGGGGGCTCAAATCACCCTACGTACACGAGTCATCCGGCACCACGCATGGCCGACGACGACTGCCCATGTGCTCCTACGTAGGTGGCCGAGTACGCTGGAGATCATACCCATGGCGATTGACGCTGGCGCCGAGACGACCAATTCGCAGTGCAATGGGTAATATGCCTGCAATATCTACATGGGCACCCCCTCTGCACCCATCTCCTCGGCCGAGGGCTTGGCGACATGTCAAACCGCACAGACAGCGGCGCCTTCCTCCGGGGCTCAAGTAAACATCGCGATAGTGTCCTGCAACCCTACCCCAGCAGCCAGTTCTTTATCTGTAATTTTTCTTGGATATCAGCAGCAAGAAACCAACGATTCAAAACGTGGTTTGAGGAGATCGATGAGACCGACGCCGATAGTGAAGCAAGCCAAGCTCTGGTTGAAGACGGTTTTCGAGACCAAAGCCAGTTGTTGCTGCTCACTGCGAACCAGGTAGAGCTGCAGACTATGGACTTCTCAAGGCTCCTTTGATTGATATAGAATTCATTTCAGGTTCAGCGTTGACTTTCCGGCCGCCACTGATCGGTTCCCAGAAGCTAAAATATGAAGCTGCTACAGCCCACAAAGATATTTAGTTTGCAACCGAACCACAGAGCTTAGCATACCTCGGCATACACGTGACGATCCCTTATTCCTCTATCTCAGGATTGCATTTTTGTAGCCGAACGCCGCATAAGCCGATGTCTTGGTCGCCACTAGATGTAGCACAACCTCGTATTGAAGTCCTAAAGAAACCAGTGGAAATTGAGCAGGAGGTGTTGAAATCATCTTTCAAGGCCAATGATGAGACTAAGAATGCGCCGACGACGATGTTGATCAGTATTTGGAGCTATTAGTTTTTCAAAGAGTGCGGAAATGAAGAGGAGCAATCACTCCCTGAACCACGCATGTCTGCCCCCACGGGCAACCCGTGGAGGGCCGGCCGCCTCTGGTTCGGCTACGCAGCCATGAAAGTCTGGGTGTGGTTGCTATATATCGGGCCGCATTGCATGAATAGTGCACTTGGTCTGACTTGCTTGAAGACACGGCCAGCATAGGTTCAATCGCAGAGCAGAAGACATCGCAGTTGAAACCCCCCAAGATGGATGGATTGTCGTGGCAGTGGCTGACGAACATGCGGGGGTTCCCGCACACGAGGTCCTAATTTAGTCTCTTGGTGGTCACGAACTCGCGGTGCAGGGGGCCCTGTTGATGTGGCGGGCGTGGCGACGACGACCGCCATTGACTCGAAAAAAGCTGCTAACCTACCTAGCGAACATCAAGCTACCCCCCCCTTCAGCTTCATAGTATCATCTGATAACAAATAGGTCTTGAGGTACGAGACCTGAAGTGTGGTTTGAGGTTTAAACATCTCAAGTGCGGGCTGTGATGGGCGATCAGATATTTAGGCTTCATTTTTCATTGAGGACTCGTTGCGCATCCACCATATCTGGGTCGACTGACTAATCCACAGGGTTTATGCTCGATTGAGCACCATGAGGTCAAGATTCGTTCAACAGTCGTTGCCGAGTTCGTCTCGCCGATCTGCTTCGCAGGAAGCCATGCACGAGTAGACGCAGGAAAAAAGACTCTCATCAATCAGCATGAGTATCATTAAACATGGTTCTGAGCTACGTCATGGTACCCAAGATACCGCTCGTTACGGACCCAACTCCTATTCTCGACCTCAGCTCGCCGTTTTTGGATCCCACTGAAACCCCACCCTCCCCCGCCGCCCAGCACCAGACGCCTTGATGTGACACGCGATCAGTTGCCTTGTTGTGAACAATTTGTGAACAATTTGTGAACAATTTGTGAACAATTTGGTATACTCTTCCTCAAATAGACTTTTCCACGGTTACTCCGACAGTCGCGCATGTCGACAACGGCGCGGATGCAGTCACCCGACTTCATGACCTCAAAGCGGCATTCATCTTGCGGCAAGTCTTGCGGTGGGTGATGAACTCGTCGACCTTGAGG